GCTTAAAAGAATCAAATTTATCCACAATAAAAACTGCGGCATCTAATAAATTAAACAGTACTGACAAACTACAAGTTTTCAAAGTTATTTTAATACGATTCGGATGTTAAGACACATAAGTTAACATGAGATAAAACGTATTATAACTCGTTACAAAAGCAGAACGATACATGTTTTATTTTATTTTTAAGTCATTGTTGTATCGATTATCGCGTAAGCAAAAAACTCTGTTCTCAGCGCCCAGTTGAATTCGCACGGTTTAAGGTCAATAACATGGCATTACGTCAACGCACCGGTCCACTTCTCTAATTTTATATTGTACGTCAGTGTGTTAATTGAATGAATAATACAATGACGATAAAAATTACGACAAAAATGACTATCGCACACTATCAATCAATGTCAATATTCTCGAAAAAAACGGGGCTTAACATACCTGTTTATGTATTTAAGCAGCCTTGTTGCCATGAAGTATGGAAAAATTCAAAATAGCGTACACTACACTTTTTTAAAAATTACAACACCAATGCAAAGAGTGTGACTTTTTGTTACAATTCAACAAAACAATGTGTGAATTTTCATCTCTTTATTTTTTTTTTCTTATAAAAACCGTCTCCATTGCGACAATCTATTATTATCTGTCGATATGCTATCGACAAGATCCATCGGTTCTTAAACAATCTATAACTAAACATTGTCAAAAACTTGGTACAATTGAAAAAATAAAAAAGGTTTTGTATATACTGTTTTTATTTATTTTTTAATACCTTGTTATGAAGAGAAGGCGATCTAATATTCAAAATGCGAATCGGTTCTTTTACAATGATCAAAGCATGCAAGAATTCGATTAGATCATTGTATCGTTTTTTGTGATAGACCGCGCCAAGATCTTTTTTGCACTTAATTCATACGATCCATTTCTTTTTTGTCGTATATTTTTAATGTACACTTGCGTCGTCCTACAAAAACTCAGACATACATTAAATGAGCATAAAACTAGGGGGGAACCCCAATTTATTGACTTCAAATCGGCTTTTACGCATTCATGTAAAACTAGGTAAAGTAGTCAAAAACAGTTGCTTAAATTTCAATAATTTGCTGCCTAATGTGCCGAAGTTTGTTCCGTAAAATAAGCTAAAGTGGAATTACATACAAGCAAAACATATATTCGGTATACAAGCCGTCTGTGAGGAATAAAGAACTGCACAGTTCCTAAACTGCCATCAGTAATGCGATCGTAATTAAATTAGCTACACACCCTGTAATGCCACAATATATTTCCTATTGGAAAACGATACATTTATTATTTGCTCCGACTACCCCTTCGGTAAAGAACAATTAGTGATAATGATTGTAACTTTTCCGCTATCTACTGATAATAATTCTGTACAATTAAATTGTGAATTTACTAGTAGTTTTCTTAAGCGTTTGCGTATTTTGTGATATTTTTTTTGTAAATTAGAGTAATTTACGTGTTTTGACAATTTATTTCATAATAAAAGTAAAAAATAGTTGACATACTTTGTCTCTGCAAAAATCGGATTTAATAAAAAAAATAACTAAATAGAAGATAGGTTTCATTCAAGGACTAAACATCAGTAAGTCGGTGTAAATTTCGATTGAAAATATAAACAACAAACGTTTTGTTGCTTTACTTTTTTGTACCAAACATCCAAAGTACGCTCCTTATAATAGTCATTTATTGATTCTAATAAATGTGAATGTAAGGGTTTGAAAGTGCACTAGGTGGGCTGAATAATTAATGTCCCTTCGGCCCTCGCCTAGTAACTAAGTACACCGTATAGATTTCTGATTTGTTGTGAGTGACTCGATTCTAAACGGTGTGTACTCCATTACAACGAAGATAGAGAAAATTTTGCTTCTTTATTACATTAAATATGATTTACAAGAAGTTCGCCGTCTTGCTGTACTGTTACGGGCTTATAACTCGAAAGATTAGTTATTTAAAAATGTGAAAAATTTAAACAACTACGTCTGTTTTGACCACAGCGTACGTGTTTTCGAGCCTGGAATGTATCTGCTATTTGTTAACATGTTTACCCACCCAGTTGTAACCAAGTATTGTCCGTAAAAACAATAGAGACCATCATTTTCTTCAGCATTAAACGATAGAAGGCTTTTTATTTCTAGTCCTTATTTTTATTTTGAAACGTTTTTCGGCAAGAACAAACGATATAATTAGTCAGAGTTAGTCTTGTCAGAGTACAATGTGGGTGTCGAGATAAAGGATAAATGGACATTGACAGCAAGACAAGATATACCTACTGGCCCACTGAATGCTTTTAAGTGGTCCCTAAGGAGAAAATAAATGTTTTGCATGGAAAATCTACACTAAGGGACTGTCAATTAAATAACTGAGTGTGACTGTTAATAGTGCATCTCCACTTAATGTCAGAAAAGCATGAGAAACAGCATAGTTTTTACAGTGTTAATGAAAAGAATTGATCACGATTTTTTTTGAAAACCAAACAAAACCAGCTTTCGTACTAGAGTACAGTGGTGAAGTGTTGAGGGGTGCAACCACGCCCTTATAAAAGACGTGATTCCCGAAATAATTAAGTACCGAATAATATTTATTTTGCCATTAGGTTATTCAAGTTCTCATACTCCAATTAATTAAAAGCAACATTTAGATTATCGATATATATGATAGAATTAATAAGATTGGCATGGTTTATTTTGTTTTGATAGAATAAAGAAGTCTACTTAATTTTTGTGCAGATTATTCTAATATTTTTCCTTGTGGTTAATAAGGTACACAAAAGTTCGTGGGGCATGAAAATATAATGGCCTGGGATAATGCATAGGATTAGGATACTAAATAATTAAGTTTTTTTCGCGGGCGGTACTTAGGTATTACATACAACATCTGATAGAAAAGGTATTAATTAGGTTTAAATTAAATCATACATTAATTTTGTTACCAATGCCATTTGAAATTTACTTAACTGCGATGATCAGACCATTTCTTTGCAACGTGCAGATATTATTTTAGATATAAAATAAAATTGTTTTTATGAAATATGCTGGCGTTGGCGTGATTAAATAAATAAAAAAACAGAAAACTAAATTTGTAAAAAATCATATAAAACTTACTTGTACAAAACTTTTAAAAATGTTCCAAAACCGCGACAAGTAGCTACTTCACCAGTGTAGGTAACAGTCATTTTGATTTGATTTTAGCTATAATATCACAGTATGGTACCAATTATTATTATTTATATTACTCATAACGCAAAGCAAAACTTTTCTGAATAGGTGTGTCGAAAAGACAGAAATATCTTGTCTCACTAGTCACATTTACAGTAATCTTGAAACTAAGTCTTGACTTAAAACACTAATAAATTTATTTCATGTTTATGAAAATAAGCCAACCACATTATTAGCTGTATGTAATCACATAAACACTGCAACACACACCACGCACCGCAATACAGAAAACACGCAACATTAAACTGAATTGAAATGAAGACAATCACAAAAACAACATTGTACTACACTATGCACGAGTGAAGTAAGCAACATTAAGTTTTGACGTAGACAGTTTGTAGACAAGTGATGGAACTTAATCAAAGTTGCCAGCTACTATTAAAGCTAGGCAGTTGGCAGTTTTTGACAGACACTTCAGTCAGTTACAGGTTACAGTGACATAGTAGCATGGAAGTACTACTAGAACAGGAATGCGTTCTATCTGTACATCTTGCAGTAAAAATAAAGAAAATAAAACCTTATGCTAAGGGCGTAAGAGTGTTGGTGCACGCAAAATAATATTGAAGCCGAGTGAGAGGGGTACAAGTGTTCGCTGTCGCTTTCTAACAGGGACCTAGAGTTGCCAGATATCAATCCTTTCGTTCTTTGTAGAAAAATAGGCCGAAGCGAGTACTATGCTCACTGTGGGTTATATTTTCATAGGTAATCGTTTTAAACATAATTTGTTGGTGAAGAATTACGGTGACCATGCATGACAAACCAATCCCAGTTTGCGGCGTAAACTTCACAAGACTGTTAACTGCAAAGTCTGATTTAGAATTATGTCTTTTGTAAATACATACATGACAACAATAATAAATTAAAATCGATCGGAAGCAAATAATAATCAGACAACAAAAACAAGTTTATTTAAATTGCTCTTCTTAAATCATATGTCTCCATAGTCACCATCACTAGAGAAGGATAAAAGGTACAGTTGTTGAGGTTTTCCTCGGCTTCAATATTGCGACAAGAGCTCATTCCTGTTCTAGTAGTACTGCCATGAATAGTGGACATACATGGGTATAGACTGATAAGTTATCTAACGAAGTGGACATAAGAGAAACTAAATTATGATAACGCACTAAGGCCCTCCGTTTATGCCATTTCCATTGTTTATGTAAGTTTTATATATCTTCTGACAGATACATCCGAAAGCAGCGCCTCCCTAACCGGGTAAAACATCCTAGTTTGACGATACTATACTATATAAGGATTAATGCTTACTTTGATTTTACTTTTTAGATTTTCGAAGCATCCAATTCAAAAACAAGTGTATAGTATTTTTTAATCGAATTAAGTTGAAAACTTACTCTGATTTTCCTGTTGTTGCTTGCCCGAAATGACGGAAAATCGAGTTATTTAACATTATAGAATAAGTTGTGTTTAAAACTAGCTGTTGCCCGCGTCTTCGTCCACGCAATATTGAGATAAAAAAGTAACCTATAATATGCCCATCTATGTCGGCTCCTTCAGTGAAAGTCCGGTCGAAATCTTGAACTTGGTCCAGCCATTTCGTTGTGTTGTGTTGTATTGCCGTTGTGTTGTAGTGCTGCGTTTTATTGTTAATTTTTATTAAAATGTTTTGTACTTGCGCTTACGTTTGAAGCATTTCGCGGTCAATAGTTTTATATAACTTGTGAATAAGTAGGTATGCCATTATGATACATTAACTTAGTTTGGATATTTAAGTATTTTTCATCTGTGCCAATTATTGGTGGCAAAATATTACCTGTTTCTGTGTTCCTGTCGTTTTCGTAATGTCAAAATGGCCGAATATCTTTCTTATTTCTAGTAGAATTTAGGAAAAGTTTTTCTGACAGGGTTTTTGTTAGTTACTGTACGTGTTAATTTAGTTTTAAAAACCTATAATAGATTTTGTTAGTATTGATTTATGTTTTTCTTTATTAAACAGCTAAATCTACCATGAGTGAAAATGCTAGTGAGAATTGTCCTGATGAAAAGCCGGTTGTTATACATAGTGAAGATGTTATATTCCCGCCTTTCCCAGGTATGTTTTAATTGTATTTTAGTCAAAGAAGGCATGTTAGTTTACGAATGTAATTTATTGCATTTTAAAATGTAGGATATGAAACGATTTATGCTATGATAATCATAAAAATACGTATACAATATGAGCTTATATTGGAATTTATTTTTTAGTTTAATTAATCAATCAAACATTGACTTACTTGTGTATGTCCTAATACAAGTTGTTTTTGTTTTTCGTTTATTTATAAGTTGTTAGAAACAAACAATTTTGTATCTTAGCTTATATCTGGTATATTAACTTATTTTCAACATTATATGGTATAGTTTAAGCTTTTGCTTTTAACATTTTCTTATGTTAACACTTAGTTTGTCACAATTATAAATTTTATTTGCAATAGTAGTTATAATGTTACAATTTTGTTTCAGAACCAACTGATGATGATTTTGATGATGACATTGCTGAAGAGGAAAGGAATTATTATAAAGAAAAGTACAAAGGTTAACAAGAATTTGTTTGTCTACATGCTATCAGTTATTTCGCAAACTGAAAATAAAAATTTCATTGAACTTGATTTTCCTCATATTTTAACTATTACAAATGTAATGAAATTTTTGACTTTCCTTGACTGAAATAGAAAAAAATATGTGACAAGATACAATATTGTACAACTTACCTCAAAATTTAAGTTGTTTTCATACATCTCTTCTTAATGTTGTATTTTTTGCAGATTTGAACATGATAAAAACTCAAAGATTGCATTGTTCTGCATGCGATCGTCATCTAGGTTGTGCGGCACGCAATGAGAGCCGCATGCGTCCTCATCCTATGCTCAGAACTCTTGTTTGCCACACATGCCACAATTTTTACAATAGCGGAGAGTTTGAAAAGGGTGATGATGGATCAGAACTCTACTGTCGTTGGTGTGGTCAAGGTGGACAAGTGTACTGCTGTTCTGATTGCCCTCATGTGTTTTGTGCGGTAATTGTTTTGTCAATCTTATTGATGTTATAAATTTAAATTTAGATGAATGGACAAGAGGTATCTTTTGATCTGCTAATCAATTTGACACACATGAGAACATAATCTGGAAGAACACATAAGCTACTTACTAAGTTTAGTGTTTTTATTGTTTTGATTGTTTTTGTTTATTTTTCCATCCAGATATGATTGCAGGCAATAGCTAGTTTTACATTAGGTGCTAAGTAAACAAAATAATTGAGATATTTCTTGTTTTCACAGAGATGTATCAGAAGAAACTTAGGTACACCTAAAATAAAAGAAATAGAACAAACTGAAGATTGGAAATGTTTTAAATGTAACTCAAAGTGTCTGTGGGATATACGCGCTATGTGCTGGGCAGTGTTGCGCTACTGTGATCAGAAAAATAAGTAATTATTTTAATATACTCATTTTTATATGAACAATCTTATGAAGCAGATTTTTTTTGTTTTGCTAAAATCTTATTTTTATATTTTTCAGAATTGCCTACAACACTCAAGATCCTGAAAAAAAGGACTTATATCAGAAGGATTGTGCGATAGACCACACAGAATGTTGCAAAAATAAAAGTAAAAAAAAAGAACTGAGAAAGAGAGAACCTGAAAATACCCCAAAAAAATCAACTGCATCTATAATATCTAAAATTTCCCCAGCTATTCAGGTTTGAATTTGTGAAGTGATAATAAAATCATATTTTACCCATATGGTGGTTTAAGAAATAGGCAATATGCATATGACGCCAAATTGCACCAAACTTTTTTTAAGTATACTTTATTACGATAAAAGCATTCATGCAAAGATTTTTTTTAATATAATGTGATTTAGTGGCAAAATTTAATCATTAAAAAGTGTCTTTTTTCAAATTCCCTTGCTAAGTTCTAAAACGCACACTATTGGACGAAGCAAGTGGCTTATCTAATATGGCGTTGCTGTGTTGACAATACACAGTTCATTTACGTTAGTTTATATAGAAATACTCTTGAAGTATTTTACTGTAAACACGATATCAAAACCAACTTTAAAATAAAAAAATAATGAAAAGAATTATTAATAATTAATTATTATTAATTATTAGCCGGCCTGAAGATAAGCAGAGCGAAAACGGAGCAGCTATTCTGCGACTTCGGGGGCTTATCTAGTTTTATCCCGATTGCCTTAGATGGCGCCCATCTTCCAGTTTGCTCCGACTTTCGGTACCTCGGCTCATTAATCCAAAACGACGGCGATATTGACCGTGACGTGAGAAATAGAATAAAAGCGGGATGGATGAAATGGCGACAGGTTACAGGTGTAATATGCGACCCGCATATTCCCCTTAAAATAAAGGGGAAAATTTACAAAACCGTCGTAAGACCTGTCATGATGTATGGATCTGAATGTTGGGCAGTGAAAGGGACGGATGAAAGGAGAATACATGTAGCGGAAATGCGTATGTTAAGATGGATGTGTGGGGTAACACGATTGGATAAGATACGAAATGAGTATATTAGAGGAAGTTTGAGAGTAGCCCCAGTGGTTGAGAAAATAAGGAGTAAAAGGTTAGAGTGGTATGGGCATGTTATGAGAAGGGATGAATCGCATGTGACAAGAAGGATATTAGTTATGAATGTGGAGGGGTACATCGGTAGAGGTAGACCTAGAAAGAGATGGATGGATTGCGTGAAAGGTGACATGATCAAGAAGGGAGTGATGACTGAGATGACGGATGATAGAATGCTTTGGAGGACGAAAACCCGGTGCGCCGACCCTACGGGAGTAGGATAAGGCAGGGGAGATGATGAATGAAAAGAATTATTAATTACCACTTATTTGTACCAGGAATAATAAAAATGAATAGATTTTTGAACTTGAGAAGCAATGAGATACTTTGTTGTTTTTTACGTCGAAGTGACATCTGAGCGTAATGTTATGAATGGAATATGACGATTGACGTCAATTGTCTCATGACAACTCCGGTCGCGTTTTAGTCGCTCGAAAATGATTGTAGTTTTAATTTATTATTTTTAGCTCAATGGTTGAATATTTTTGCGTCAAATTATTTTTTTAGTTATTATATAACACGTAGAATCGTTTAAAAAAAAAGAAAAAAAATACATGCATATTCCTTATTATAACAGTATTAATATTATTTTAGGTTAAAAAGTTTGCTTCTATTGTTCCTGATGAAAAACCTGATAAAAAGCCACAAAAAAGGTCTGCTAGCCCCAAACAGAAACCCATATTAATAAAAAATCCTATTCCTATGCCTGCGCCTACTATGAGCCCAGTAATACCTAATCAGCAAGCTAAAAAAATAAGGGTAAGATTTTAATTATACTGAGAACAATGTCTTCTAATGTACTGTGACTTCAAACATCTAAATTTCCTTACAGTTATATGCAATTTGTGTCACCATATGTTGTCAGATTGTAATAAATGATGATATACTTATTTCAGATGACACCTCCGACTTTAATAGGTCCTCCAAGATTTCCAAGTGAGAAAAAATTAAACCCAATTTATATACCTCGCTTCAAAGCTCATAGACCACCAATACCGATACGTCCACATTATAATGGCAGCTTCAATAATTCTTACAGCAGTGTTGCATCAAATGACAACATTAACTTGTCACTGGATAATTTGACACAGGTAATAATTTTTAGATATCACCAACAATTTGTTTTTGAATCTTGCTTATGATTTTTTTGTGATTAATGGAATTTGTATTAATATTTTAATAGGGCTTAGATATGGCAGCCGTAGCAGCGATGTCCACTTCTAATCAAGACGACGACGTAGTCTGCACTCCGGATTTACCATTAGAACCGATGTGCGAGGTAATTTCAAGACAGATTTAGAATTAAGTAAAATATTGACAAACAATTACATTTTTCTGGTTTGACATTCAGGTAACAGAAGATAATGTTGACGACGATGTCCAGTGTATAACTCCCGGTCCGATCACAGCGCCCAAGGCGTCGTCTATGCCGCCACTCGTATCCCGCGCGGGAACAACTCTACCGGAATTAACTCCAGAAAACATCGTTCAGATGACGGAAAACGACGTCACTGTAAACGCATCTACGGGTGGTTTGAAATTCCGAGTCGATCCGCAAACCTTGTCATCCAACAAGATGTATCGGCTACCGGATGGCCGCATTTTTGCGATTAACGCAAATCCCGCAATGCCCGGAGGATACTCTGCGACCATCGTAGCGATTACTGAAAACACACCCCAAAGCAAGGCCTCTAAAGGCGCGACGTTCGCGGCAAAGCTCAGCGCAGTCACCACAGGGCCCCCCAACACGCCGCCCATAGTCAACACATACAGCTCGAGGAACTCACGTTCGCATAAAAAACGCAAACCAGAACTTATACACACAAATGTAAGCAGCGGTAAAACCAACAGGCGATCAGAATCATCTGTCAGAGAATGCGATCTGAAAGTACCGATTGAATGGTACAGATACAATCTGATCGATGCCGTTGATGCTCTGGAGTACTCCTTGTCACGACTTCATAAATTGAAAAGAGAAGCGACGACCGTGTACTTAAGAACGAGAACTGTTAATGAAATGAGAAATCTTCATAGAACGTTGGATAGATTACTAAACACTTCGGTGAATAGGTTTAATGAAGTGCGACAGAATGTCAATAAAGAAATGAAACAGTATGTTGCAAAGAAAAAGTCCCCAGCTAGTAATAGGATCGCTAACAATACGAGCGAGGAGGATGACGATGTAGAAATATTACCAGATTTAGATGACAACGATGACGACCCCATTTTCATTGATGAAAATTCTTCAGACTCAAACGAAAATCACGAAGTTGATCTAACGGGAGCTAACAGTGACAACAGTCCTGATAAAGCGGCCAATAGAAAGGACACGGATTCTAATATAACGGATCAATGTCACGATAATAATGTTGATTCGAGTGGCGTCGGCAACGTTGACGAAGCAAACTTTAACGCGTTGCATAACGATAAAGATGAAAAGGACGGTGAAAATATTGAAGATGAGGAGGCTAAGAATGAGAAGGCTAGTAATGATCACGTGAAGAATGAAGAAAAGGAGGAAGACCTGAATGGTGAATCGGATTCGGAGTGTAAGTCTTCTAAATATAAAGAAGACAAAATGAATGAGGATGGAAAGGAACATAATAAAAATTCAACAAACAATTCAGATATTAGCGGCGGTGATGAAGATTTAGATAAAAATAGTAGTAACGATACCGGTATGTTAGATGATACAGACGAAGCTATTGCAGTGGAAAAACTTGAGGAATAGAGAGTACTTTACATACTTTGTACTATATTTTACTTGTAAGTAAGTTAATACAATTTGATTAAAGGGAAGGCTCGTGTCTTGTAGAGTGAGCCTTGAATAAGTTAATTAAGTCTTGTATAGTTGCTTTTCTAGATTGAAATTAAAATTTAAAAATGGTACTGAAAATCTTTATAGTACATTTTATGTTTTCGAATGCACTTACATTTATTTCCCGAATTTTTATTTTTGTTACTTGAAGAAAAATTTCAATATGAAGATGTTGTATTTACTTACCAGTTTATTCAATTATACTAAGTATGTTTAGAAATAAACTTTTTTATGTTCTGTTTGATTGTTGTCAGGAATAAACATTAAGATGAGAACTATGTTGTCAATAATTATTTACTTTTTGTATCTTTAGAAACATTTTATCTAAGGAAACAGTGTCCTTAAACATTTTGTACTATTTATTGGTATAAAATTTATTAGAAAACTTTATATTTGACTCTGCTCCTATTTGAAAAATACATAATTTTTTGTAACTCAACATATCCATAAATAATCATTGTGTATGCAGGATTAGATGTAAATTGATACTTTAACCGACTTTCCAAAAGGTAATTTTAATGTCAATTAGAAACAAAATTAACAATTTTTTTAACATTTGGATCATAGACAGTTTTCTCTCCTATAATAAGTCTTGCAGACGGTCAATTCTAATTGTTGAGTTACGGATTTTGTTCGCTTATTCAGCATATATGAAGTTTGGTTTACATTGTGAGCATACATACAGTTGTAGGTATATTTACAAGAAATTGACAGGAACCATTCAATACATTTCAACAATAAATGTTTAGATTAAAAAAGATCGATTTTCTACTTGTTTTGTTTACGATGTATTTATTGCCCTAGCAATAGAGATGTCTAAATGATTTGTTTAATTTTTCCCTTTTTTTCGTTAACACCATCTGTATTTATCATTAATTTGATTAAGAGATGTTTGTTTCTGCTTTTAAAGGTAACGGTATTGTTTTGACATTCGTATTTCGTTTACTATTTTATAAATTTGTGATATCTCCACTAAATTTGATATGTGTAATGATTAGTTAATTAAGTTTGTATGGTACACGTTGCTTTTGGTTTAACTGTATGTATCGATTGATTCGATAAACCATTATAACGTAATTAAAACTATAAATGCTTCCGTTGTACAGTCATATAATTATTTGGTTATGTATCTATTTAATGTTACTTTGATAATTTGTAGACAACTATAAAAACAGTAATTGATGTCAAGTGTTCTCCAAAATTGTATAACCACCAAGACAATTGCATACTTCAAGTATTGTAAGATTTCTTTTTATATAATTCAAACTTTAGGACTTTGAACATTTTAGGACATACTCAATTGTATGGTGATTTTGCCAAGTCCTTGTCGATACAATTTATTTCGCATAAATATTAAAAAATATAATTTTCATTTAAAATTAAATTCTCCGAATTTATTGGTGTTTAATTGGACCTAAATATCTCTGAGTCAAGACGATGACAAACTAAATATATATGTTTGTATTTAAAATAAAATTGATTTTGTGTCAGCATTGACTGAGGATAACTGTTTTTTTTAACTTTGAAACAACACTACCGTAATGTAACAACGTAACATTTAAATGAGTGGTAACATGTGATGTGTTTTTGGTACAATTTGTCAATAGCTAATTTGCATCACAGTTTCAAAACGAGATTTAATAAAACTTTCCATTTAATAGTTTGCAGCATTGATAAAGGGCCATCAAAATGCGTGCATCTGAAATGTTTGTTTTCTCCAAAGTCGTTTCCAGATGATTGGACAAGTAAGGATGTAAAAAAAATATGTTGTCACAATATATATGTCATATAATTTGTTTTTAAGAGAAATACACAGTGGTACAATAGATGGCAGTTTTATTTAATTCTTCCCAACTGGAACTCGGTAAAAGTGAAACAAAGGAAAGAAGTAAAAATCTATGTAATTGAATCTCGTGTCGCATAGACTTGCTGTTTTCGGAATGATTGGAATATAAAACAACGATTTATTTGAATTAATTAAGACATAATTTTATTTAATTAAAATATTACTTAAACAATATTATTATTATAAATTAAACAAATGCAGAAAAGGCATTTAAAATAGCTCAAAGCAAAACCTGATTAAATCAGAGAAATTAGTAAAGTAGATTATATCACATTGATGTACTTATAGAAGTTGTCATGGTTCAGTGGAACATCAAAAGTAGAAGTACGGAGTGAAGTGAGCTCAGTAACGGAAGTGTCCCTTCCGCGAGCGCTCCTCGTGATAGACGCGCATCGGCGAGTACGTGCCGTTCGACGCACCGTTGGCGTTCAAACCTGCAATACAAATTATACAGCTAAAAAATACAAATATATAAATACCTATATTTCTGTGGGATTTGTTTGTTCCCACAGCCGAAACACTGGTATAAAACATTTTATAGCCTTTTATTTATACAAAATCTTACTGTGCATCTTAAAGCGGATTTCCATCGATCACCAATCAATTAAGTTGTGGGGGTCGTGGTCGAGGTCGTGGTGGTTTAGTGTGACTGTGCTGTGTTTACTACGAACATACCTTTACCGTTCAGTTCTCCGTCGACGGTGCTGGCTTTAAAACAATCGCATTTGATATATTTACCAGATAATTGCTTGCTTTGCAAAATACGTAAAAAACATTGATCTGAATAAATGGATAGACGATTACTTGAAAATTACAGCTTTTGTTTCGTTCTGAATCAAACGTCGTTATAAATGTTACTAATAGTTAATGTTAATAATAGTTAGATGGACATCTCTATTCGTATCCTAACTTTTTATATAAAAATTAATAGGAACAATGTTATACTTCCAAAAATCTACTGATTACATTACAAACAGGTATGGCGCGCTTATTCTTAGAGCGCACGCTAACCTTCGACTGAACAGTCGCATAACTAGTGTGCGATTGTCGATTGTTTCGCAGCCAATTCAACTGTTTAATTGCACAACTAAAAATCGAGTAGTATGCGCACTTCTATATAAGCTTATAGGAATCAGAGCACGTTTAGTCAAAGATGTACGCGCGTTTTTAAATCTTATAATTGACAATGTCATGACAGTTGTCATAGGGAGGGGACATGAAAGTCGATCTTTCTTTAGTAGTGTTGTACCACTACATCGGTATTGTATCTGTTTTTAAAATAATAGTCGTGTTCGGTGTATACCTTGCAGCAGCGTGTGCGGCGGCGGCGCGGGCGGCGCGGCGCAGCGCGGGGCCAGCAGCAGGTGGTAGAGCGCGAGGTAGAGCGCGGCGGCGGCCAGCGCGGCCACGCCCAGCGCGCGGTACACGCCGCGCTGCGCCTCCAGCGGGGCCGACAGCGACACCAGCCCGCCAACTATCGCACCGATACAACGACCTGCCAAACGTACATAGTTATACAATGTCGAATTAATAAGACAATTAATTAGATCTGTTTCGTTGTTCATAGGTTCTGTTATGACTTTAAAATACTTTTTTCTCACATTAAATAAACACCGTCAATAAGAAACTTCCTTGGTAACTATTAAACGACTTGAGAACGACAAAAAAAAGAAAAACTCGAGAGAAAAACTATGAACTATATGTACTTAGTTTAGGTGATTTCTGAAATAAGAAAAGTTTAGACACCTAAAGAGTTAAAAGCCCCTTTACCCGAGCTTTAAGGCACCTTAGGGCTTCACAACATGTTAAACAACTTGTCTTACAAATATTTTCAATGCAGAATAAGTGGATGAATGTTTGTTAGAGTTTGTAGCCTAAACTGCTGAACGGATCTCGATATTTAGCATAGATGTAGAGGATTGTCTGGAAGAACACATAGGCTAAATTACGTGTTTTTAATTCGACGCAGACTGAGTCGCGACTAAAGCTAGTTATTGTTAAGAAATGCTGCAATGTAAAAGGTGCAATACCGATGCAGAAGTGCGCGATGACGGGCAGCGCCTGGCCGGTGGTGGTGTACTTCTTGGGCACGAGGTGCCGGAAGTAGAGCACGGCGGTCACCCACACCAGGCTCAGCGTGAACACCTGCAGCAGCGCGCACGCCGCCACCCACCAGTAGCTCGTGCTGTACGCCAGACCTGGTACAAATGTTTACTTATGAGATTTATGGATAATTCTTTAAGGTAATGAAGGAATTATTGATCCCGGAGCATTATTAGGCACTACAGGATAGCCTCCGAGGGTAAAAGAAAAGTATAAATAATAATATAAATTAAGATTTACCCCAGATACAAACAAAAAAAGATTATTCGGATATATTAAAGAAAAAATACATTTCTATGTATATGGTTATACGGCAGCGTTTTTAAAACGCGACGTTTTTTTTAATAGACTTTGTATTTTGTTCACATGAAGCGCCTGTGTGAATGAGGACTC